CCTTTTAAGGATCAACAGTCTTAGAAATAACTATGAGTTGTCAGGTTCTGTTAACATGAATAAAAGAAACTAAATGATCTTAAATTGCTAACACAAGTGATTCCAGATAATTCAAATTCACAGTGTAACAGCTGTAAGTGATATTTACACAACACTACTTCTAGTTCTAGTCCTAAATGTGCAACACTATAGAAGCAAGGCACTTAAAAAATCTACATACTAAAGAAAAATGAGGAGGAACCCAATAGAGGGATGCTTTTGAAAGCCCTTGTCAAGAAACTCCAATGGACTCTCATATGAACATTAAAAAAAAAAGTCTACATAAATAAGGGATAACTATACAGTAGGGTTACTCTTAACTTTACCTCTAAACTTTTCTTTACATTGAGGTACCTTTGAAAATGCATTGTAAGAATGCAGACTCCTTGAGAACAGGAGACTATTTTTCTATCCATTGCTTTATTATTGGCCCCTAGAAGCAGCAGCACATGTCTGCTTTGTGAAACAGTGATTCTCTTTCTCCAATTCTTCAAAATTATCAGAGGAAGTGGAGTGTAGTGCCATTTAGTTGTAGACTTACTTATTCAGGAGGCTGAGGCAGGAGTATTGCATGAGCTCAGGAGTTTGAGGCCAGCCTAGGCAACATAGTAGGACTCCAGTCTCAAATTAAACCTAACCCAACCCAACACAACCCAACCCAACCCAACCCCAAACCAAACCAAACACTAAACCAAACCAAACCCTACCCTAAACCAATTTAATACAAACCAAATTAAACCCTAAACCAATCCAAACTCTAGATCAAACCAAAACACATACTAAACCAAACCATCAAAACAAAACACTAAACCTGACCCAACCTCTGCCCAGACATGCCAGTAGCAGCTTCTCCCAGTGTCACAGTCAACAATGCATCTAGACATTGCCAATGTCCAGTTGAAATGGTCTAAGATAGTGAGATGTAGAAATAATTTTCCATGCATTTGAAGTTAATTTTAGATGATGAATAATATTTATAAAATAAAAGTAACTGCTATATTATCCCCTCATATCTACTGTAGGATGATATCCAACACGTTTGTTGGTCTGTTGCATTGTAACTGACCTTTCCAGAAAGGCTGCAAGTTAGCATTTTCTTGCATCCATTTCTATACTAGGTATGTATAGAATTTTCTCCCATCCCTGAGATGGCACAGCTTTAGTAAGATCCTCTTTACTGTGTGGAGGAAGGGTGATGATAAAGATGGACACAATCCAGAGGCTAGATGTGGCTAATCAGGTCACTTTCCTTTGGGGATGGTCATTTTTGTGTGCCTATTCTTGGGCAAAAAGCAAGTGAGGCAGAGAAATTCAGTCAAACGACAGGAAAGGAAGGGTGTGTTACCCGCTCAGGGCATCCTCTAGGATATCTATTTAAAAAAAAATTGCCCCAAATTTATCCTTTCTCACAACTTTGTAATTAGGGGAATGATTGTGGGCAAGTTTTTTGGTTTTTTTTTTTTTTCTTCCAAGATCTTAGTTTACTCATTTGGAAAATGAGGAAAATGGGCCTGAAATTAGCTAAGAATTCCTGGGCTTAAGTATATAACTTTGCCTGACATTGTTTACAGTTATAATTTAACTCGTCAATTATTAATACCAGCTGACTTTTCATAAGCACATCTTCCCAATTCGTATGAGGTTTTCTGAAAGCAGGAACAGAGTACTGTATTTACTCATTACTGTAGGCAGTGACTCCCTTGAGGTATGAGTGCTATTTATAAACTGACAAGATAAATACAGCCTTTGATTACTGTCTTAATAGACCCAGAACTGATTCAATATCTCATTTCTTATATTCTTATGTTCAAAGACTAAATCATTATCTAACCAAAACAACAGGCTGAAGTAGGCACAGTCTTGCAGGAGAATTACTGATACAAGACAGAAAAATGCCTGAATCAAACATGCAGAATTAAGATAAATGAATGGTTTTTAGTGAAATGGTATGATGGTTAATTTTATTTGTCAACTGGGCCATGTGGTGTCCAGCCGTTTGGTCAACTCATAATAGTTGTTAAAAAGTTTGTGAGTTGACCAAATGAGTTTCTTTGAGGGTGTTTCTGAATAGATTAACATCTGAATGGGTAGACTGAGTAAAGCAAACTGATCCCCCTAGTGTGGATGGTCCCTATCCAATCAGTTGAAGACATGGATGGTACCAAAAGCTGAGAAAGAGGGAGCTTCTCCTGCCAGGCTGCTGTCACCTGGGACATGCCTTCAAATTTGGTCTGAAACACAGAATTCTGGTTCTTGAACCTGCTGGCTTTTGACCAAAACCTATGATGCCACTGGCTCTCCTGGTTCTTTAGCCTTTGGACTCAGTTTAGAACTATACAATCAGTTCTCCTGAGCAACCAGATTGCTGACTACAGGTTGCTATAATCACAGCAACCAATTCCTTTAATAAATCTCTTTTGATACATCTATCAATCACCTCCTGTGGGTTCTATTTATGACTATAATGCTAAATCTCATACAAGAAGTTTATTTTCTCACTGATATTATCAAATTGTTCTAATGAGAGATTGAGAATCACTTTTCATTGGCTTGATAAAATTACTTAACTGAACATTTGATTAAGCGAAGCTATTAAATTTAATTGAGTGCCATAATTAAAAGTGTTCAGATAAGCATATACAAAATTCCTTCTTTGATTTATCAGTTTTGAACAATGATGATTATACATATCAGGTTGCCACAGGTTAGATGATATTATTTTAAGAAATAATTATATAGTAATTATAATAACAGTACACTTTTGAGGAGATGAGATGTTTTCTCATAAAAATGTATATCTTGCACTGGGGAGATAGCTCAGTTGGTAAAGTGCTTGCTGTGTAGTCATGTGGATCTGAGTTTGGATCCCCAGAATGCATATAAAAAGCTGAATGCAGTAGTGAGTGCCTGTAGCCCCAGCAATAGGGAGGTGGAGACAAGTAGATCCCTGGAGCTCCCTGGCCAGACAGTCTAGACAATTAGTGAGTTCCAAGTTCAGAGAGAGACCCTGCCTCAAAAAATAAGGTGGAGAGTGACTGAGGAAAATACCCAATGTTGACCTCTGGCCTCCACATGCACCTATACAAATGTGCATAAACACTTGTAAACACATATGCACATATATACTGGAACATGCATACACATACATACATACCAAAAAATGTGTATCTCTGTTTCATGGGGGTACTGTGACAAACATGTTTTGCTTAGGACTTTGTTTTATAGACATATTAAGCTTAGAATATGTGAAAGAAGAGTTAAAGAGTTTTTGGATTTTCCAAAAAAAGTAGAAATACAAAAAAAATTCAGGAAAGTTAATGTAAACGAACAGAAAATACCGTTTTTCCCACTTAACATTTACTTTTTTTCCTCCCCTTCATCCGTCTCTCCCTCCTCTCCCTCCTGCCCTCCCTGCCTTTCACCCTAATGCTGGGGATCAAACCCAGGGCCTTGCATGTTAGGCAAGTACTCTACCACTGAGCCAGATTGTCCACTCACCTTGTTTCTCTCTCTCTCTCTCTCTCTCTCTCTCTCTCTCTCTCTTTCTCTCTCTCTCTCTCTCGGAGAATTACTATGTATTCCAAGATGGCTTTGAACTTGCAATTCTTATGCTTTATTCTCCTGAGTACTGAGTGGTGCCATCTACATTTACTTTCTAAAACTTTCCCTGCCTCCATATATAACAAAACAAACAAACAAACAAACAAACAAAGCTCTGGCAGACACTGGCAGACAGTGAACTTCCCATGTATATTTAAAATATAATTCTATTTTGTCAGAAATGAAAGAAACCTTAACAGTTAATCAATGATTATATTTAGATAGAATGCTCTATGAATCTGTGTAGGTAAGCTAATACAGTTCCAATGTAACTCCACAGTTTGAACTGTTTAAGACTCAGATCTGCTTCAATGTATCTTTGTACACTGGAACTGAAAAGAAGCAGGAAAATCAGCTGGTTTTAGCAAGTCATGATCTATGCTACTGGTGTCAGGTACTCTTGGCAAAGTAATGGTTATATGTTGTAGTATACATAAGAAAAGTATAAATAGAGGTTGAGGAGGTTGCTCAGTTGGTAAAATGTTTGCTGTGCAAGCATGAGGACATGGGTTCAAGTCCCCGCTACCCACATAAGAAAGCTGGGCAAAGCAGCCTGTGTCTTTAATTCTAGCCCTGGACATGGAGAAAGGAATAACCTTACTGGTCAAGCTCCATGTTCTGTGAGAGATCCTGTCTCAAAAATACAGTGGATAGGGGCTGGAAAGATGGCCCAGCAGTTAAGAGCACTGGCTGCTCTTGCAGAGGACCAGGGTTCATTTCCCAGTACTTACTTGGTGGCTAACAACCATCTGTAACTCTAGTTCCAGGGGATCTGATGCCCTCTTCTGACCTCCATGGGCACTGCACAACAGAGGTTCACTTACATACATACAGGCAATGCACTCACAGACATAAAATAAAAACAATAAATAAAATATTATAGAAAAGAAGTGAAAAAAAATAAGGTGGATAGTGGCCCAAGAACTAGGAGGCAGAGGCATAGGCAGGTGGATCTCTGAGTTCCAGGTTACCTGATCTACATAGAGAGTTTTAGGACAGCCAGGGCTACTTAGTGAGACCTTGCCTCAATAAATAAATAATAAATAAATAAACAAATAAGTAAAAAGTGGAAAAAAATAGAAGGTATAGAGTGGTTGAGGAAAAACCTGATGTTGACCCTCTGGCCTCCACACACACATGCACACATGTGCATATGTGCTTGCACAAAAGCATGAATATATACATACATAAACAGAGAAAAATTTCATAAATAGTCTTACAGTAGTTACCCAGTTAAGATTTTGATGACACATTAAAACATTTCCAGAAATATTTTTGCCTTAAGATTTCTTTTCTGCAGACTGATGTAGTATGTATGAAAATCATCCTTAGAACATTCCAACTGGCATCAAGCTACTCACTTGTTTGTTATTCTTGGAGGGAGAACCTGGACTGATACAGTCATCATTGTCTGGAGCTGATCTTTCTTCCTCATCTGTTACAAAACATGATGGCAACATTTAACCAAGTTTGCCATTTTCAGCTCATGAAGTAGAAATGTCCATGTCATAGAACAGCATCAAAGAATACAACCACCAGGCCTAGATTGCTTCTAGCAGCAAATGTGTTTGCATAGACATTTTTGGAAAAGAGCAAGTGACTGGAAACTCCATGTTCAGTTTTGGTAAACACAAAGGAAATAAAAATAAATATACAGCTTGTTAATTAAAAAATTAAAGAAAAAAATAGATGCATAAGGCAACACATTTTCTTTTTTCCCTTTTAAATATTTTTATATTTACCTATATGTTCATTTTGTGTATGTATGTATGAGCATGTGTTACCAAACATGTAGAGGTCAAAGGATAATTTGTGTAAGTTGGTTCTCTCCTTCCAATGTGTGGGTCTCGGGGACTGAACTCTGATCATCAGGCTTGGTAGAAAGCACCTTTATCTGCTGAGTCATCTCCCTAGTCCCTTATTTTTTCTCTTTACTTTTGAACTTTATTAAGCTTGAGAAGTTTCACCAATCTTTCTATATTTTGCTAACTGTATTTTGAAACCAGAAGCAATTTAAAAAATTTCCATATACGATGGCAGCAAACAAGCACCAAAACAGTCAAGCTTTATTATAATCCCAAGTAGAAGATAGCACAAAGAAGGGCCGGAACAGCTAACATATGCACAGGAAATGTACAACTCTTTAGTAAAAGATAGGCAATGTTTCAGTGGGAAGCTATCAAAGACTGAGGGAAGGAGGAGTTTTCTAAAGAGCAGCTGCACACTTTATCACAGTTTGCATTAATGTGCAGAGACTTCATTAAGTAAATACTTATTAGATATGCACAAAATTCAGGTGAGGGGCAGCAAATCTTTCACTCTTCTGTACACCTCAGGTCACACACCAGTTAAAGATGTGCTAATGGATACACACTAATAGGAAAGCAGGAGGGGGACTAACTGGGGGAAAGGAGAAAATAGCTGTGAGGCAGTGGGTGAGGGGGATGAATGAAAACAATAATAACAATATAGGTAGAAAAATGTCATGAGGCAGCCCATTACTTTGAATATTAGTCTAAAAATGTGATTCTAGGTAACTACAGTTGATAGCTTATCAATAGTTGTCAATAGCGCAAACATGAAGTTCAATGTCCTGAATGTCCACCTTTTCCTTTATTCAGTAGTCACTGTTTTGGGAGTATGAGATCTACATCTGTGCTGACTACTGGTCAGCAGGCTACATGGACGTATGCCAAGATATGATGTCACCCCCTCATGCCACACAGCAATCTTTCAGGACTATGTCACAGGCAGTTGTGTCCTGCTTCTTTAGTTAAACAGTACTGAATACTATACAACCTTTCCGTGTAGTATTTTGATAGCACTGTCCACTAGTCTTTTATCTCTATTACCTTTTTTTACCCCAATAGGAAGCTGATGAAACTGTGTTACCAAGTCATCTGGAGCTGCAGATACACCTGTAAGAGCAAGCCCTTTCTATCCATGCAACTGAGTCCGAGACATATGCTATCTACCAAGGCTAGGTTCAACTAGTGTCTGTGGTCCTACAGCTATTCAATTATAGAAAGAACATCTCTCTTCTATTTTCCTACTATACATTCTTTTAAGTTACTATATGAATTTGTAACTACTTAATTAAGCCTGAGAGGTACTGGGTGCCTGCTGGAGTGTCTGGGCAAGCAATGCAGAGCCTGTGGGTGGCAAAAGGACACTTGCTCAGCCCCAGCTCTGAAAAGGCACCCAAGCCACCACAGCAGCCAAACCCTCACCTGCCATCTCATAGCAGATGTCTTCCAACAGTCTACACAAAATCAATGTTATCCTTACTTTTAAACATTAAAAAAAATTATAGCAGGCTGTGGTGACATGCATTTTTAATAACAGCAATTGGGAGACACTGGCAAGCAGATCTGTGAATTCAAGGCCTGCCTACTCTATATAGTGAGTTCCTGTTTCAAAAAAAAAAAAAAAGACAGCTCTATTGAGGTAGAAATAAGTTTAAACTACATACATATTTGAACTGAAAAATTTGGTATTTTATATTTAATTCTGTGAAGCCATCACCATAATTAAATGAGTGAAAATAAGCCAACAAAATGACTCAGTGGGTAAAGGCACCTACCACCAAACCCGATGATCTGTTTGATCCTTTGGGATCTACCTAGTGAAAGAGGAAAAAAAAACAGATTCCTGAAAGTTGTCCTTTTACCTCCTCATGTACTCTATGGTGTACACCCATGTAAAAAGAAACATAAAAAAAGGATTGCGAACCTAATGAGCACCTGTCTCTGGACTCTTGTGTCCTCTGCCCACCCTGCTCCCTCATGTGTCTCTAGACCACTGACCTGCTTCTGTCACTACAGAATTAGTTTGCTTGTATTATACTTTTATATAAATGAAATCAAGACAATACGTTGTCTTATTTTAGACAAAATTCTTGATTTTAATTTAAAAAAGGCAAAGGTATAGAAAAATCTAATTGAAAACACTGAATCTAAGGTTACAAACTGCTTAGAACATAAACTGGGGGCAAGGCCAGCAATGGCACTTGTATTCTACTGGGGACTCCAAGTTGACTTAAGAAGGGACAGACCAATAGTCCGAAGAGCTGTGACCTATCACTTCTGTCAGGACAGGTATCAGGAGGTAGAGACCGCTAGTAAATGATGATATTCTAGAAGGCATGCTCTCACAGACAAAGCAGTTAAATAAGTAACAATCAACAGAAAGTCACCTTCTGGCTCCAATTCTTCTGTCACTTCTGTTTCATCTTCAGAGGAAGCCAGGCTTTGTGACGCAAGCTGGCCTTCAGATAGGAAGGATGCGTCATCTTCTTTCCCTTGTGTTTTGTCAGTGTTTTCTTCTACCTTAGTCACTGTGTTTTCTTGTGAAACCTGCAGAGACAGAAGCACGCTGCTGTATGGATTATTGCTTGGAGTACATTTTATAGCATCTTGCTGAAGCACTTGAATAATAAAATCCATACATATGAGACTTAAGTAAACAGATTTGTAGTGGGGAGTGGTGTCTCACGTCCCTGATCACAGCACTTGGGAGGCTGTGGCGGGAAGATCACTGTGAGTCCAAGGTCAGCATGGGCTACATGGGGAGAATAGTGAGTTCCAAGTGAGTCTGGTCTACAAACTCGCCGATGTTTCAAAAACAATAGCATACACAAAACTCAAAACTGCAAAATATGCAAAGATATTCAATATATATATAGAAGATGCGTTAGAAAACAGTCACTTAAATTGTGGCTGTACAGATAGATGAAAATATACAGGTCCATAAAAATTTGAATATATATTAAGAGTGAAAGGTGTAAGCCTGCTGTGGGGGTATGCACCTGTAATCTGAGTGCATGGAAGTGAAAGCAGGAGGCCCTCCTTGGATACATACTGAGTTTTGAGTTTGAGGTCAGCTTGGGGTATATGAGACTGTCTCAACAGAACAGAACAAAGCAAAACAATGAAAGACGTATTACTCTCAAAATGAATTTTATATTGATTTTTAGTTCACATAATTATCTATTATGTGCGATGTATAGCCAATTATAGCTGCTAAATTTGTCATATTTTTAATCTTCCTATTGCAAAGAAGTTACATACAAAAGTAGGAGTAATACCATGATTTCCTGAATCATCCCTAATACAAGACAAAGTCTTCTAAGTCCCAAATTAAACCTTTCAGAATAATTTTAATACAAATGCATACCCTGGAAGTATGTGGAACAGCTGGCATATTGATTTCTATCTCTGGAGTGTGCTCCACTTCTGGGGCGTTTTCCTTCCTATCTTCTGGAGCAGTAGAAGCCTCCTTCGATTAGTATGAAAATACCAATATATGTTATTTTGTATTTATTACTAAATCCCAAATCATTTTAAGCCTTTTACATGTACACACAGAGAGTCACACATGGATGGGTGCACGCACACATAAATATACTAAGAAAAAAATGGCAGTAAATACTCTTCTTTTTGTTATGCTGGGGATGGAACCCAGGGTCCTAGTGCATGTTAAGCACATGTTCTAGCATTGAGCTACATCCTCTTAATGTGTCTACAACTTCACAACTGCAAATGTAGTATATTGAAACACTGTTATCATGGCAAAAAAGAGAAAGCAATGCAAATGTCCAATAAGACATCAACTAACATATGGTGCATCCAGATAATCAAGATCTGTGCAGCTATGAAAAGACAATGATGGAGATCTGTACTCACTCATATCACAGTGAGAAAAGCATATGGAAACAAGGCACATATACAGACATATACACATGTGTGTGTGTAGTTGTTTCAAGTTTTGTGAAAAATGAATCTGCTATGAAACATATGTATGTGTATATATCCATGGGAAATTCACTAAAATGCCATGTTGTAAATTTGGAAAAATTAATTTCAAAAAATATTTATTATTTTTATTTTATGTATATGAGTGTATTGCCTGAATGTATGTGAGTACACCCATGTTATGCAATGCCACGGAGGTCAGAAGAGGGTTTTGAATTCCTCTGGAATTGGAGTTAAGGATGGTTCGTAGCCACCATGTGGGTGCTGGGAATTGGACCCGGGTCCTCTGCAAGAGCAGTCAGTGCTCTTAACTGCTGAGAAATCTCTCCAGCCCCTAGAAAAACTAATTTTAATTTTATGATTTATTTTTATTTATATTTTTAACATTTCTATGATAATCATATAATACTAATGTAATTTAAGAACTGTATATGCTGGAACAGGTATGTGCTTCCTATGATCAATATTATCTTTTAGTACATCAAATACCAACTTATAGTCAACTATTTTTCTAGCACTCATAAACTATGCTTATTTTTAAAATAGTTTATAATTTCTACTATTTTAAAAGTAAAAATGGCCAATATAGGAAATGTTAAAGATAATAAGAAAATATAAAATAGGTATCAATACAAATTCCTACTACACAAAGGTAATATTTTTCTTAAATTTAAAAAAATTTTTGACAGTTGTTAGCTACCATGCGGGTGCTGGGATTAAAACCCAGGTCTTCTGTAAGAACAACCAGTGTTCTTAACTGCTGAGCCATCTCTCCAGCCCCACAAAGGTAATATTTTAAGAACTTAGTAACTTTTATGTCTTTAAATTAATGCTTGATTCAAAGAAAAACTGTTGGTTACATTACTATATTATAAACATTGTGTATCTTGTTACTTAAAAAAAAACATTAGTATTATAACCATTTTCCTCTGACATCAAACTTTGGGAAAGCATAATCTTAACAACATAATATTGCATTGATGGATGTACCACAGCTTAATGAACTATTTTACTACTATTGGATATTTAAGCTGTTCACAATTTTAAGGTATGATTACCAGTATTACAAAGACCATCTCCATATATTTCATTTTATATTAATAGCCATTTACTTAGAAATTAGGCTACCCAGGTCAAATCCCAGCTCTAATACTTGGACCACAAGCAAGTTTCTTATCCTCTCTAGTCATTACTTTTCCCATCTTTAGGTGGGATAATTCTAGTATAAAGCACACAGGGTTGTTTTGAGGATTAATGCACACATAGCATTTATTTCAGTGCCTGGAATAAATAATAAGAACTCAATAAATACTAAGAAATATTCCTTTAGTTATAATTATTGAATTCATCTGTTTAGTTCATATAAATTAAGTGCTTTGTGTATGCCAAGCAGTATGTGAAGTCTTGAGATGACAGAATATTTGGATGTGGATAGTGATCATACTATACTCATGTAAAAATTCATCAGGCCACATGATTAAGATTTATGTCCTTTGATACTTAAGTTTAATGTTAAAAAGAAAAATATAGGTCGGGCGTGGTGGCATATGCCTTTAATCCCAGCACTTGGGAGACAGAGGCAGGTGGATCTCTGTGAGTTCAAGGCCAGCCCGGTCTATATAGTGAGTTCCAGGACAGCTGGGGCTACAGGGAGACCCTGTCTCAAAAAGACCATCCCCCCCCAAAAGAAAAATATAATGTTGATGAACTGGATGGGGGATGTAATAAAGATTCGTGCCTGTACGACTAAGTAAACGATTAGATTATGTCACTTACTAAGAAGAGGAAACACTAAATGAGGCAAAATTTTGGAAGGGGGTGAATGTTAATCAGTTCAGTTTTGGGCATGTTAAGTTTAAATTCCTATTAGAAACCCATTGCATATGAAATAAGTAGTAAGAAAATGAATAAAGAATTTGCAGTGAAGCTGATGTTAGAGATTATAAATATAGGGATGCCAACATATAGAAGCTTTTTTTAAGTGTTGGGACTGGATAAGACCGCTTAATAAAGATACAGATTGAGAACATAGAAGTGGTCTAAGGTTTGACTTCTGAGACACTTCAACATTGACAGATGTGGTCCAGGGGAGTGGAAATAATAATTGGTAAAGCTGAAGAAAACTAGCAAGGCATGGCATCCAAGGAGCCATGTGAAAGGGGAGAGAAGATTTACCAGAGAACTTAATACTGAATAAGACCAAAGAAAGCCACTGTGACCTTAGCAAGAAAAGTTTTATAAAGATATAAGCTTGACTGGTGCAGGACCAAGAAACAGTATGAGGAAAGGGAGACAGAATTTTGCCAACTTCTTTGAAGACCCTTTGTAGATGGGTGCAGAGGACTGGGACAGTTGTAGCTGGAGAGGGATATGGGGCCATGAAAGGGTAGATCAAGAATACAAACTGGTAACATAGCGAAGATGTACTATACTCACTTGTTTCTACTTAAGTCAGGTAGAGTATAGTAAATGTCTACATTCTATTTCAAATATTTCTGACAGAAAAGGAAAATCAGTATTTTGAGAATTTATTACTTACAGAACTCTGATGAGGCATGATATCCACAAAAGAAACCTTTTTGTCCACAGGTTTTGTTAAACGCTGTCTTGGTTTAGGTTTTGGTGTCTAAGATAAAATGATATGTCAGACGATGATGATCATTGCATTTCAGAAATGGCCTTAGCTATTTTTGGGTGGAATTATTTGGCTATTATGTTTATATTCAAAGTGTTATACTTGAAAGGAAATTGAAAGTACTGTTACTCACTACAGCTGGCGTGACACCGGGGGATGCTGGAGGTAGTCTCTGAACAACTTCTGGCTCTTCTCTACACGTGAAATTCCCTAAGTCCTCAGTAGTTATTGATGTGCTTGGTGGAAGGTAAGCAAATTTCCATTTCAATATAACATGGATGGTTCCTGCAGGATGCTTTTGATGATCTGTTAACTCAAATATCCCTGTAAGTTATAAAAATAATTTTGATCAATGCTAGAGTGAAATTTTGTTGTAATAAAAATTAAAGAGGAAAAAGAACTACTTTCAAATTTAAAAATACTTTTGAAATTTGAAAGTAGCTCTTTTCTCACAACTTACAACTCAAATGTATTAGAAAATAAAGGCAAAAGATCTACGATAGGTTCATCTTTCAACTTCTTTCAGAAGTTAAGGTCTCATATAATACTGATTCAACAATGAGATTAATGCATAAGTATTTTATTTTCTTGTGTGTGTATGTATGTTGGTGTGGTATACATGTATGTGTGTGTGTGTGGAAGCCAGTGGTCAACCTTGGGTATCATTCTTTAGGGGCTACCCATTTTACTTTTTGAGATAGGGTCTCACTGAGACCTGGGCTTTGCTGATTAGGATAGGCTGGCTGACCAGTGAACCCCAGGGATGCTTCTCTGCCTCGCCAGTTCTAAGAGTGGTAACATGGCACTTGGCTCTTTACATGGGTCCTGGGGATCAAATTTAGGTCTTCATGCTTGCATGACAAATGCTTTGCTGACTAGCCTATCTCTGCAGCCCCTAATGTAGAGATATTTTAATTCATTGAAATTAAATTCAGGTTACTCAGATTTCCTAGCCTTCTATAAGACATTATTCCTGGGTTCTGGCTCAAGTATCAACCTTCATTTTAACTTGAATATTCTTGCAAGAGGCAAAATATTCTAAAACTTTAAAAATTTCAAATAATTTAATATATAGTCAAATTACTAAATATCTGTTGTAATTTTAAATATTTACTAAGATTTAGGTTACTCCAATAAGAGCATAGCAATAAAGTCCATGAAATAAGCAGATCACCCCAAACAAATAGTAACACAAAATAGCACTTAGTTGAATATATAATATTAAGTCATGAACTTTAATCTAAATTTTAGGGATGAAAAAATCTGTAATTAATAAATCTATATTTCAGGTATGATTTTTGTTTACAGGCATTCTTTACTTGGTCCTCAAGTATTGACATTTCTTTTAATGGCTAGCTGGGGGAAAACTCTCACTACCTCCAAACCCCCCAAACTCTAGGCTTTTGGGGAGGAAAAGGATATGGGTGCAATATAAAGAGGTGACAAACTTCTATTATAGGCAAGTTAGGGCTTCCAAAATGTCTGAGTGAAGAGCTCAGCAAATATTCATCCAAAAAGGCAAGGGTAAAAGCAGAGAAGTGGTCAATGGCAGTGATTGAATGGCTCTGAGGATTGATCAAATGTGTACAACAAGCCAAGAAGCACTACCTCAAGCAAGCCTGCTATGCAGTATCAGTAGGAATTGCAGGAGTCTGTGGGTCTGCTCTTGCCTTCCCCTCTCTGTTGGTACCTTAATTCTACCCCCCAGGGGGTGACTTTATTTGGAACAGAGTATAGACAACTTTATTTCTAGAGGCACTGTTTAAAAACAACAGCAATCTCAGTGCCAAATAGATAAGCAAGCCAAGATCTTAGCCAGAATTCTCAAGCAAAAAACTAAAAGTTTGGCAGTAATTTAAGACAAGCAACTGCAAGACATTCACAGTGGGCCTTTATGAGATCCTATTTATGCCCTATGGTATGGAATGCTGTGGTTGTATACTAACCTATGTGTGTGCTGAGAAGAAACTCAAGAGAACCTTAGTAGACTCTGTTGCTAGCCAAATGAGAAGTCTAGCCTAGCACTAGCAGACTTACAGACCACAAACTATACACTGATCCACAGATAAATGATGGGAGATTGCTGATCCAAGGTGTTTAAGCCAAACTTTTTTAAAAAATTATTTATTTAATAACCACACAATCAGAAGAAGCATTTCATTACAACAGCATTGACATATTCAATAACAATTTCCAGAGCTAAGATGCATCTCCTTCAAAATTGGCTGTAAATTTTTAGGTTTACAGTT